TAGTAAATTTACACTTATAAATATGACATTTCTTTTTGTTTTTAACTATTTAGATAATTTATAATGGAAATAATGTATTTTGTAATATAAAAATTTAGAAATATTACATATTTTAGTATAACGGTTTTTTTCCTTTTTCTTAATTAGTGCCTAACATTTTTTTAGAATATAGAGAAATTTTAAAAAATGCCACTTTTCAAATGCCATTTTACAAAAATGCCACACTTTTGAAATCTTTACAAAAATGCCACTTTTTCAAAATTATTTTTTTTTATATTATTTATGTTTGGGTTAATTATGTTCTATTAGGGTTTAGTTTTGAGTGTTTAGGGGGTTTTAGGTGTCAAAACATTTTTTAAGGTTTAGAATTTTAAAATATATGCTTTATAAATCTATAATTAGTGGCATTTTTGTAAATGGACACCCATAAGTGGCATTCTTGCAAATGTGGACATAAAAAGTGGCATTTTTGTAATTGCCCCTAAAATATATTCCTTATTATTATTTTTTTTAATATTAAAAATATTACATAGTTTAGTAGAACAATTTTTTTTTAATTAGTCTATAATCATTGTTTAGAATATATTTCTTATTTTCCTTTTAAACATTTTTATTAATATTAACACATATCATAATCTAAATTAATAATTACACATGTCACGATTTAGTGCTTAAGAATTTTGTCTACGTGTCAAACTCCCAGATTCTCTGTTATATAATAAGATAACTCACCCAATAGAATGACAACAATAAACATTTCCAATGTAAATATCTGAAGCGAACAGTTTATAAGGGGTCTCAAGAGTCTCAACAACAATCAACTGAGAATAGTAACTGAGACCGTAAACCAAAAATGCAATGGCCAAAAAAAAAAGTAAAAGAAAAGAAAAAGTCACAGAAGAATACAAAAAAGGACATTGACACATCCCCACACCACAACACAAAGAAGTGGTGAGAATTATGTCATAGGAAAAGGCTTAAAAGAAGAGCAAAAACCCCCAAAGTTTTCTTGTTGGAAACTATCTTTGAGTTCTGAGACTCCTTTTTACTCCCTCCTCCTTCAAGCTTACAACACAACATTTATCGCACAAGCCTTGACCCAGAGAGCAAGCAAAGATCGTAAAGCAATGTCTACAGATTCCGACAAGCCTCAATGTCTGCAGCCTGTGAGGCCAACAGGGACTTCCCCTGCTCGCTTGACTCCAAGATGCGTACAGCTGCATCTACCACTGCCTTCTGGAACCTATCGTCCTCCATCTTCCCAAGGACTTCTCTAACCAATTTGAAGTTCACACCACCAGCCAGGATCAGCTTTCCTACAATCTCACCAAAGTTGTTAGGTGCCTTGGGAAGATCGATTCCAATGTCGTCCAGCATGGCACCGTACAGCAAGAACCCGGTTTCGAGATCCTTGGGTGTGACCACCTTCTTGGATAACAAATACTCCAAGAGGTTAGCAGTTGGCTCAACGACAGGCGGGCTTTTCTCAAGGGACAGAGAAATTGCTTCCTTCACAAACTCTGCATGATATGAAGGCGACCCAAGCTCCACTACACACTCCAGAGCTTCATCCAGAAGTCGGACACTGAAATATTCCTCAAGAAGAGACTTTGTTTTTCTCTTGAGTACTTCTTCACTCAACTTAGGACCACTAGGCTGTGGTTTCTCCACCGGAACTGGTACTGTCAGAGGTGCAGCTGACTGAGCTGGCGCTTCTGCCACCACAGCAGCTGGGCGCGACACTAAACCGCTGCCTTGCAACAGGGCACTTGTCTTACCACTCATAAACCCGCTGTTGCCTTGAGGTAAGAGCCTTGTGTTCATTGAGGTTGACTTGCTTACTGCTGAAGAATGCTGAGGTCCTGGCCCATCGCGTCTAGACATAGATCGTGTCCTGGGTACCACCTCCCAGTCATTGTCCCCCCCGGGCATCCCAGGCATCCTACGAGTACCAGGCATACCAGGCATCAAGCCGCCGGCACCAGGTCTCCCACCAGGGTAGACAGGGCCAGGGCTCACAGGCCCACCACCAGAAGCAGAAGCCATACCCTTTCTCATATTTGCAGTGGCACCCGGTCGGAGACCAAGATTCTTCTCTGCCTCAGAATGGATTTCGGTTATAGTTTTGGCTTTCATCTGCACAAGAAATGTAAATAGAACATCAGAACCGCTACACAATGAAGCAGCAAACAAGGTCTCAACCTTGAAACTCATAAAACTGATGAATTATTAGATTTTCAAGGATAGGATACCTCTTCCCGCCTGGGAACCCAGCCATCGGAGCGCAGGTCGATGATATTCTGAACCATGAATCTCAGACGCAGTTCCAACTGAGGATTCTTTGACAGATCCTGTAGGCGTCTGAAATATGCATCGTTGATGCGTTTTGATTTCATGCTTCCGTCAAGTTGTTTGCCAATAGTTTTGAAGAAATGACAAATAGCTTCGACATTTTCCTCTGCTGGACACACTTTCTCATCGGCCCCAAGAAGCTCCTGCGCTCAGACCAAAATAATAAAGGTTAATACAGATACCAAAGCAAAAGTTGTCTAAGAAAATGTGTGCACTTAAAGGTGTTAACCTGAACAATGTGATGAACAATCTTTTCCGGAACCATCTTCTGCTTTAAAAGCTCACCAATTAAACGAATATTTCCTAGAGTCTTGAGCTTCAACAATTTTTCTTTGTCCTTCCGCTCAGCCTCCTGAGCTGGAGCACTCATCTGTCTAAGCTCCTCCCTCAACTTGTCAGCACCCTCAAACGCCTCTTGACAGATATTCAGTAGAACCCTCTTAAATGTGATCTCCTTAGCCCCAGGCTCCGCAGGTGGGAAGGTGGGCAGCTTGTCATTGATATCATAGCACAATTTAGCGTACATAGGGCAAAAGGTGGGCTCAAGGACAGCTTTGTCAAAAATAAGGGTTATCACATCCTACAAATGAAATAGAAGAAAAGAACACTGGTTAGCTTCATGAACAGCCTAGGTGATTCAAACAAGGCTTCATCTGTGCTTGAGTAAGAGCATAAACCTTCAGGATATCAGCAGATGTGATGCCAGAGTCAATAAGTTGGCCCTTAAGAAGATCGTACTTATCAGGGGTTAGCTTGTTCAATATCCTGGACAAGAAAAGTATATCTTCGTAAGTGTGCAAGCTAGATTTAAAGATTTCACCTTTGCAGTATAGAAAACGAAGGAAAAGTCTAGACCACCAATAATTGTCTCAAAGGCATTACCCTTTCACAGTCTTCAGAACACGATCATTTTCGGAAAGATTTCCTCTCCTAGCCGACCAAGGTACTTCGGCTTTGACAAGGACAGGAGCTGGTCCACCCTGGTTCCACACAATATACAAGTAAGAAAGAGAAGAAGAAATCATGCCAGAATGTGAAGGACTTAACAAGAGGGAAAAACACATTAATTTATTGATCAAATTACCCCTTGGTTGGATGATATTTGCGCCCTCGAAAACTGGGAACTGAGTTGGTCTTGACGATTTTGGCTTGCTTCAACATACCTGGAATCTCTAACTTCACGGAGATTTTCCCATGACCTTTCCTCCCCAGAGGATGGTGGTTGAGCAGCAGAACGGCTGCGCCAATCGCGAGTGTCTGGCTGAGAGAAGCGACCTGCAGACTGAACCGGGGCCTGGAGCATTAAGATAACAGATCTGTGTTAGAGCTCATGAAACTTCATGTTAGAGGAAGCATTTGTAAAAGTGATGATTCAACAAAAATATACCAAATTGCTTACGACACTTTCCCCATGTGCCCAAGTCTCTTCCTCACCAAACAGTTCCGGTTCAATTTCCCGTTTGACTTTCAGAATTTCCTCAGAGATTTGAGCAGTCTGTACATATACAGAGTCGTGAGTGACCTCAAATAAAGAAGAACAAAAACGAAACGTACAAACTAGACAGTCCTTGATTATAGATTTTTTAACTAAGATAATCACCTCTTTAAGTTCGAGAAGCTGGTCACGGGTGTACTTCACACGTTCACGGCCATCAAACCGCGAGTCTCCACCCTGAAACAAAAACATAGCCCAGGATGAATCTTCATTAACTGACACTCAATACACAAAATCCAAGAGAGGAATTATTCATATAATCATAAAGCCAAGATGATTGATGAACTAACAAACTACAAGAAATATCAGTAGGTCCTTTATGAGCAAATAGCAGCTGATAAAATGCCCACCTAAAAGCCTACTTATCATTATACGTCCATATTTACAACAGCTACACATACTCCTGTGCGCCGCTAAGAATCAGGACAAACAAATTGCTCGCATCACTCGTATATATTGCAGACACATGATTCTATGTGGTCGGTAAG